TGAGCCAATACCACCTATAAGGCAGGCACTGTGTGGCTCAGTGGGCTAAGCCTGTGTGCCTGTAATCACAAGGTTGCTGGTTGGCCCAGCCTCAGCACATCTGCAGGTCCTTGAGCAAGGCCCTTAACCCCCAGTTCCTTGGGTGCCCCAACAGGTGGCTGCCCTTCACAGACAGCTTACTCTACAAAGAGCAAGTTGAGGGAGGTGTAAAGACAATTTCCCCATTAGGGTTAATAAAGTATCTATTATTATATGTCTCCTTTTGCCAGGAGCCTTCCCATAGTTTCCTCCTTAAGTGCTTTTGTCCACTTTCCGGCCCCATCTGCCAGAACCGGGAGTCTGAGTAGCAGGCCCTCCAGATCCTCTACTGCCCACAGTCGATACTGTGTCTGTGCTCCTTTAGCCACTGGAAGGAGCATTGGAGGGTCACAGCCCTTTTGCTTCTCACTGCCCTCTGCTCTATGTTGTCAAAAATTTTATTCAATTTCTTCCTCACCCTCCTTCACTGTTTCCTTCTCCTGAAACCATGAGCGGTCGCCGCCATTAAATCTGAGGGGGACGTGTCCCCCTCACATTTCATAATTATTCGTTTGGACCCCCCCACATTTAACATAAAATATTAGTTCACCCAGCGCTGTTTCTATTGCGTCGCAAAAGAATCCATTCCACTTCATCGATATGAGAATACACATACCACTGAAAGACCACTCCGAAAGACCACTCCGGGTTACCTACAACTCACCACACGCAAGTTATCAACTTATTGTTGAGTCTCTAAAATAATCATTGAATTAAGTAACTTTTGTAGATAAAATTAGGTGTTTAACAACCTGTTAAAAATACACCAGAATGCAGGAAATAGCATCTAATTCATTAAAAAAATTCTGGGGGAGGGTCCCCAGACCCCCCGCCAGTGTGTACCCCCCACATTCAAAATGCTTCTGACGCCCCTGCCTGAAACTGACACCTTCCTCTGTATGGAGGGTTAGCGGTGCTCAGCAGATGCATCAGCCCTTCTTCATGATCACCAACTGCTCCTTCTCCTAATTCTCCAGCAAACAGTGAGCTGTTTAGTGCCTGGTACCTGCCTCTCATATGATAACAGTGCATGGAGGAAACACACAGCTTCTGCACAGACCGACCTTTGATTTTTTTTTTATTACGGAGCTGCTGCTCTGCTTTTGAGCATGGAAGCTGTTATGTTCAAAATCAATAGGAGAGAGAACGTGTGTCAGCAGTGCTTTACAACTGTAGGTATACTCCTTAGCTTTGCTGAACTCCTCCTTTTTCTGCTGTACTTACAGTATAGGTTAACATCGCCACCTACTGGCACAAAAGTTAAACACAACTGAAACTCCATATACAGTTTGTATGGTTGTGGATGTCTTGTTCTTCTTATTCATGGATATGTAGTATCAAATATCCCAACAAGACTATTTGTCTAATAAAGTGATCACCAACCAGTTCCAGGCATTGCTAGTCGATTGTGAAAATAATGTTCACTCTGCTGCATGAATTGCTTTCAAAGGAAAATACCCTGGTATTACCGTAATACTGCCCAAACCTATTTAGCACCCCCCCCACCCCCCCGTTCCTTATTTTCCTCCCCGCAATCAGGATGCCTGAGGTGGGATGTCTGGCAATGGG